AGTAATTTCCATCGCCATATTTTATTGGCATTGCAAAAATATTTGGAATATAAGGTTAATATTTGGTGTAAATATGATCTATGAATATATGATTTTAAAAATGCCAAAAAAAATGAACGGTTTGACCTTCCTAATTTGCATAATGACAGCGTGAATATATAATTAGCTGAAATTACCTAATTTGCATATTTGATGAATATTTATGATTTTTTAATATTTCAAATGAAATATATTTCCATACCTGTCTTACATACATAGGTTTCACTGATGTATCATGTTCGGTTTTTATTTGATTACATATGCGCATATTAATTAGGCGGACTTAGTTATTTTCACAACTTTTTCATTCTGCAGATTCGCAAAAATGGCAAAAATGACTTATTTTGTTGGCTTCTGTTTTCAAAACGGTAATGAATTTTCTTTTTTGTATTTCTTACCACAAAGATGATATTTTAGTGTCTGATAATTTGATTTATTATTTGTGTCCAGGAAAGTGATGAATTAAGTTGTCAACTTTGTCGAATTTTGCAATTTTTGCCAAAATTGACCATTTCTTGCAGGTTTTTCGGTAATTTTGCGATATCAAAAAATGGTATAAAATCACAACGCATTGACCGATTTATATTCTGTTTTTTGTTTGTTGAAGCTTTCATAAAGCATGATCATTTGCAATCATCAGATAACATGTGTTTTTTGTACTTATTTTTGGTGTGCTATACCTAAATTACTACGTCATATTACTCCAGGAAGTGCCTGAAAACGCGCCTAAATAAATGTGGTTCTAAAATTGCAAATGCTTCCTACTCTAGGCCACCCCCCGCTTGGTCGCTCCGCTCCCTCTTCGCTGACGCCTCGCTCTGTCGTTTCGCTCCATCGTTTTTCATATATTTCATGCGATGTTGTGCCCCCCCCCCCCCCGTAAGAAATTCCTGGATCCGCCACTGAGTCACGTAATCATCACCACGAAGCTTATGGTAACGTTGACCACCATTAAAAGGGTGTTTTAAGACACCTAAGAATTACTAAATCACGGATGTCCAGCCTAGATTTAGTAATCAGTTTGAGCCACGTGATCATCACCATTAAAGTTATGGGGACCGCTTTAAAGAGAAGATACAGTTCTTGGCCCCGTCTTATAAACAGTTGCGATTAATCATAACTTATTTGCGATTGATTTCCATCGCAACTATGTACTTAACGATAGGAGACTGTGTACTTGCGAGTAATTGGAGGACTTGCGATTGATTCGGATCACTCGAAACTCTTTATGAGACGGGACCCTTCAAGGTTAAACCATGTGAGACATCTCTACTAAAAGTATTTGTGACTTTTAGATTGAGTGGACGAGAACGTCCACTGATCATGCGTGTCTATTGCAAGAAGTTTTAACATTTATTCCTATTTCTTGATATCAAGAATTCAATTCTTGATATCCAGAATTACCATTGCTTTACAACAGAAAATCATTTCTTGATATCAAGAATCCAATTCTCAATCTTAAAGTCCCTATTAATGATAATTTCAGCAAATGTCACAAAGAAATGTCGGCAGAAAAAGATAACTCTCCAAACACCCTCATATTCGTAATATGACAAAAAGGTGGAGCATAATTTTCACGTCACATTTTTGTCCCATATATACATTTCTGTATGGACTGCATGTAACTTTGAGAACCAAATTCTTATTAATTTGATGATTCCCCATTGATGATTCCACATTCTCACTGTATAAACCAATTAATGTGGCTAGAAAAAGTTGACTAAATTGACTATAAAAATATCTGGGGCTGAGATGAATACTGTAATATCCCGCAGGTATATACTGCCAGCTACGGCAGGGAGTTCACACACATCTGCACAGAATGGAAGTGCTCGAAACGGAATGTAAAGATGTTGAATAAATAAAGTGTTTTCCTGAATATCATGGTTCAATAGATATCTTTGTCAATATCAGAACGATAGAGATAATGCAATGGCGACGAGGATGGAGCCAGTTCGAGCTCTACAAAAAGGGAACTTTTGATTTTTTTTTCCCATCATCTTGATCTTGTGCAGCTCGCAAGTGTGATTGTGACCGAGTGTGTACCGAGTAACTTTTGTGCCCCACGTATTGACATTCACGAGATTCAGTGATACGCCCAATATGCCTATGTCTGTTTTACCACCCTTTGACCCTCACGGGGACAGTGCATCTTTGAGTCAGAGATAGGAACAGTTTATAAAAAGATTCGAAGGATCCATGGTTGGGTTCAATATAACCGCAACCATATGGAAACGGGCCTTTCTGTTGCACTATGGACGTCAACTCATACACATTTTTGAATAAATAGCATTTGATTTTTACAGTGTTCGATTTCGAAGTATACAGATTAAGATGCATGAAATCAACTAATTTGAAATCTATTTAACATATACTCTATATCTCTTTACCTTATGATGAGAACTTTTACGTAGATGATATGCAACATCAACAGCTGTTTCGTATTTACGCCCAAGGTAATATTTTTATTCGTAATCTTATAATCACACGTTATGGTTTGATGCACTTCAACATCTACTTTGACAAAGCATTGTTATCTTGTCGGAAATGACGGTCCCCGTATATAACGAGCGGCACGTGCCATAATAATGACAACTATACAACTATATATGGATGTATAGTTTAAACCAATCAGAACGCATGAACCTATACGACTATACGAATGGATGTTAGTTGAATAGTTGTCATGTTTATGGCACGTTCCGCCCGTTATACCCGTGTGCCATCCAGACAGGCCGACATTTTGACCGAAGGATTTTGCAATGCCGGAAGTGCCTTTTGACAGATTTTTTAGTTCCAGAAGTAAAGAGAGAGAAAGAGAGAAAGAAGAGAAAGCGCGCTAAAGGGAAGGAGAGAAACGAGAAATATAGCATGCGGATGGGCGGAGAGACAGAGTGAAATTGAAAGGGAGAGTAGTAGGACAAAGAAAAACACAGGAAGATGTGCGTTTTCCCTGAATAGAAAATAGGGACTTTTAGATTTGCGTGGACAAATACGTGTGACGTCCATTCAAGGCAGTGCATTAAAAGGACGTCGACCGTAGCAATCCACGTTGTCGTTGTGCAAATCTAAAAGTCCCTAATGATAAACAGCGATAGACACCAACACACACGCACCAACATGCTCCTATGGAGCACTTCTTAAAATATGTTATAGATAGCATAAATTATTTATATAGGTCTTATCTTATGAAAAAAATAAATTACCGTTCAGAGTCGTACATTCTGAAGAAGAAAAAAGCATTTAAACCATATATCTGATAAAACAAATGTGAAAGTTGTCTGGCACTTCGTGTCAGTAACGTCGCCGATTTAGCCAATGGGAAATACAGTGATTACAACTTTTGAAAATTCATTACCACTTTATTTTTGTTCGATTTCATTCAAACTTTCATCAGTCTGCTTTTCTTGCTTTCTCTGCTTTCTCTGAGTAAATGTCTAATGAGGTTAGATTTGTCTTTTTAAAAAGTTTTTTAAAGGTCTACGATATTGACAACATGCATTAAACAATTGAACAAATAAGGGAAAGTAGAAAAAAGTCGGTGTCGTGGGCTGTCAGTCTCATGAGCTATCATTATCAGTCTTGACTAGTGGATGTAGGTCTAGTGGGTTGTCTGTTTAAATGGCTATCATCGATCTACATTTGCCACTCTCCACCCAGGTGTTAAAATGGGTACCCGGTAGGATGCGAAAGGTAATGTGCTTAGATTAGCAAGTGTGCGCTTGTAAAAATGACGCCAGGCTGGAATGCTCCCCAGGGAGTGGAGAATGTGCATACATTGTGTGTGGGTAAGCCTGAATCCGATGACCGGGGTAATAATATGATTGCAGGGCCCTCATGGAGAACAGTATGAATACTGATGGGGCTACCCTGGGTAAACAAGACATATTATTATTAGTATTATTATGCATGACTAGTGGGCTGTGGGTTAAGATGGCTGTCGGCCGTCATGGGCTTTCACTCTAGTGGGGGTATCCGTCTCGGTGTCTTTACAACTTCCCGTAAGACGACTGTTCGTGATATATACGAATGGGAGTAAAGTGTAACCGGGGGGGGGGGCTGGGATAACAAAATAAAAATCACACGGTCACAAATTAAAAATCACTAGGTCACCATGTGATGTATTGGTAGGGACTGATCTGGAAATGTTTGCCCCTAATTTTTGTAATTATTTAATGAGCAAACACAATGAGTGATTCTAGAAGGACATTACCTACATCCCGTAGTTCCGTAAGAATTGGGAATAGGGCAAAAGCTGGAACAAGTTTCTACAATATTTGTCAAATAATGATGCTTTCCTTTTGCGCATGAAAAAGTTTTGTTTATTTCCTCCGGTTTTTAGTTTAGAGAAGATTTATTTTGGAGGTTTGTCAACATTTCACTAAATAGACATTATTACAACATTTCACGTGAGATATCATAAATAAAAACAAGTAGACTAACGGAATATTAAAACTACTTGTTCAAATGATACTCATTTAGGGTAAGAGATAATGATATAAGAGATATAGATAGAAAGACACAGAGAGAAAGAGTAATAGGGAGAGAAGGAGAGGAGAGAGAGAGAGAGATTGTTTGTGTGTGTGTGTGTATGTGTGAGATAGAGAGAGAGAGAGAGAGAGAGAGAGAGAGGGGGAGGAGAGGGGCTTTAAGCAGTTTTAAAAATATTACGAGCCTAGACGTAAAGTTCAAAGATTAAGAAAAGTTGTTTGCCAAAGAACCGTCAATTAGCAACGACCATCAGGCTAATTAAGACTCTCGACTACTACTATAGTGAGATTCACACACAGAAAATTTAGTGAGATTCAAAATAGATTTTTTTTTTTTTATCGCAATCAGAATCTCAATATTGTTCTGTGCGTGAACCTAAATAGGTTACTAAAATGTGAGAACCTGATCACGATCCACCTCACACTATTGTGTCACAGTCGTGTTTATCTCCCCCTGTGATGATACCGTTGTTATACGAATCCAAAAACAAGTAAGTTCACATCGTCTTTGTGCACGTCGTGAGACTTATATATTTTACCAATCATTAAAGAGCTTAATTCTATACTTTTAAAACCATATGACCAAGTTTATTTTTCGATGAAAACCCTATCGTAGTCTACTATTTTTAAGTAGGCGAAACTTTGGAGAGGTATAATAATGTGGTAGATGAAGAAAAATGTACTTACAAAATGTATGTTGGAGATGTAGACCTTTAAAGGCAATTATCACATTCTAATATTAAATGGATGAATATGGAATAAGGAATGATTGAAAGTTCAGCTGCATGCTTGAATTCTTTAGAAGCACTCTTCTGAATTGATTTTAAATAGCATTTCTTTATTACTGCTTTATCCCTGGGTTCTAGGAAAATTACCCCCTAGGAAATTCCCCCCCCCCCCCCCCTCCCCGTTGATAATTAACCTCTGAGGACAATTACCCCAACAAATTCTGCTTTTATTAAAACCAACTTATTATTAGGGTGGACTTTCCCTTTAATGAACGGGAGGGGGATAATTGGCCTGGGGTAATTTTCTGGGGGTAATTGTCCTTGGGGTGATTGTCCTCTATATTAGATATAAACATGATCTCAACTCAATATTTGTTATTTAAGCCAGCTTAACAAATCATGTAAAATTATTACTTTTTAATGGCCTAAAATTATGAGCTATATAACGAATGACAAGCAAAAAAGATTTCATACAATTTAGAAGTGAACAAAAAAAAATCCCAGACCTACCAGTAAATGTTACAAAATAATTATTACAAATTTTGAAATTCTAATACCAAAATATTAATTTAATAGATAAAGCAGTCAATAATTACATAGCTGTTTCAATGTCCTTCAGTGAAAAATTGTGTGATAGCTTCTGAAAAATATATACTGCAATAATTTTTGTTCTGTGAATGTATAATTTTGATATTAACATATGTTTATAAAAATCTTTTTTACTTAACCTTTATATTCCTGAACAAAGAGCCAATGATAACTTTGGAATTCTATGAATTTCAAAAGGGCGTGAGGTTAACAAGATGGTAGGTAGGAAAATGCATGTTTTAGCATTTTTATAGAATATGCCATGGTGGTCTGTAGGGGAAAACGTTATTGTGTAAAAAGGGCACAGTTCGCTCATAAACTATTTTGGCATTGTACCCCCTGCCCCCTCGACTTCTACCTTTTATTGTGGTTTTAGAAGGGTACGTGTTACTACAAAAGATGCTTCGATTCTTTGAAACAATTACGTCAAAAGTAACGAGGAAAACTTATAATTTACATACTTATACTTATATTTAAAAGGGCGCTTATCAGAGCTGAAAATGTGTATTTCTCAACCCTAAAAAGGGGCACTCATTAGAGATACATAATGAGCTATATAAGCTCAAAGGATGTTGATAAAGACGATGATGGTAATGGTAATAATATATCCAATTTTTTAGCCCTATACATAACAATTCACGAATGACAAGCAAAACAGATTTCATACAATTTAGAAGTAAACAAAAAAAATCCCAGACCGACCAGCAAATTTCACAAAATAATGTTTACAAAATTTTCAATTCTATTACCAAAATATTAATCAAATAGATATAGCAGTGAGTAATAACATGTTTTTCCATGTCCTTCAGTGAAAAATTGTGTGATAAGCGGTCACGTTAAGCCCCGCCCAGTGACACCGTTCTAGTTCGACCATACGTCCACACACAAAATATTCCGTGATTCTTTGAAACGACGCCCAGACCCTAGTTTTGTTATACGACATATCGTTTAGCTTACACACACACACACGCAAACAATTTGTTCGTATAGCTATCCCGAAATGGTAGAGCTATACCGATTCGGGATAGCTGTATACGATGAATTCTATGTGTGTGGACACGGGGTAAGTCGCCTTCTCGCTGCACGTTTTAACTTCCGTACATGCTTGTCCAAGAATTTGATTCTCGTCATCTGACCTGCAATTTTCCTGTCGAACTTTACACTAACAATAATAATGTTATTACAGGTCAATGATGTGTCCGGAATATATTTAGCAAGTTCATCATATAAATTTATCGTTCTATTGATAATGAGTAAAGCTGTACTTTTCTTGAAGGCATGATTTGTGCTATAGAAGGTCATGGTCACACACCTCTCTCTCTCTCTCTCTCTCTCTCTATCTATCTATCTATCTATCTCTATGTTAATAACATGTTCAGTGTCATCAGTTACTTATCAGTGTGGGTTAGGTCACGACGTAACACAATTCAGCTCCACCGATTTACCTTGGTTTGAAATAATCTAGATTTCACTATTTGAGCTAATAGCTAGCTCAGGCTACGAAACAAAGGTGATAGGCGATGCTCCATTAATGATATAGGGTTGGAGAATTATATCAGAACTATCTAATCTGTACACGATCTTGTGATATTAGACCTCTGTGATCAAAAGGATCATTCATGAACATGTCATGAATGGTTTATTTTGCATTCTCTTGATTAATGGAGTATTTTTGTGGTATCCTTATCATGTGAATGTTTTTTTTTAATTTTGCTTTGATTTGATTCTTTTCTAAAATCATTATTATTGCCTTCCGTCAGTCTACAACGTCAATGCCGAACTGACCGTTTGTGAGTAAATCATACATTTTTTCATACTGTTTATTTCGTCAAGCGTTGTCGTGTGTGCCTCTTATTTTCAGAATGGACACCGTAGAGGAAATTAGTAAGGCCAGATACATAGCGACTGAACCCATCAGTTTTTTTATTTTAACAATTCAAGGGATGCTGATTACCCTCCGCACACTCTACATCCGAAAGACTCTCGCTATTGACTATGAGTACAACTTGCTTCCTCAAGAAGATGGCAATTGTTCACTTCTGAACGTGTCCAACCCTCTTGAAGTCCAGATCAACTCTGAGACAGCACTGTGGGTCATGTGGTTAGCAAGCATCTCGACCTTCTTACCCATCCTCACTGCATCTGTTCTGGTTGCTTCTTCGGATTTCATCGGTCGGAAACCAATTCTGATATTCTCAGCGACCGGTCACCTCATTGCGTCTCTGATCTATCTCCTTGTTTCTGTGATGAGGCTGCCCCTTGCTGTGACCTTCCTCGCGGCCATAACGTTAGGAATCTGTGGTGACACATCGGCAGCAACTACTGTCTGTACTGCCTACATTGCGGACTCTACAAGTGGTAATACCCGCACACAGAGACTAGTTGTACAATCACTCGCCGTGTTTGTAGGATGGGGTTGCGGCCAGGCTGTTGGTGGTGTGCTTCTACAGTACCTCGGTAACTTCCCCGTGTGTTTCGCAGTGCCAGTAGCACTATCAGTCATTAATCTAGCGTACACAGTATGTCCAGGGGTACTCCTTGAGACGATATCCCCTCGAGAGCATTTCAATGCCAAGACGGTCATCAGCAAAAGTTTCAAGAACCTTCGAGGCATTTTCGGCAGGAGGATGTCGGAAGGAAGATGGAGGGTGTGGTGTCTGATCGCCATTGTTTGCCTAAAAGAGCTTGTACATGAAAGTCTTTACGATGTCATCGTCATCTATGGTCTTGGAAGCCCATTCTGTTGGACAGCTGATGTCGTAGGCTACTATTCTGCTGCCGTCGCTCTCTTTCCTGCAGGAGGTAGGTCCTCATAACTTTTGTAACAAATAAGAATTCAGACGTTGACACCGGTCTTTCGTAGTGAAGCGCCATCAGAAATAATGGTTTCGGTTAGCTTTATGGGAGTATTTGAAAGAAAAGGGGAGGTTATAGAGCATACCCATTTGAAAAACCAGACGGCAGATTTAAAATGTTAGAACAATAACTGTTTCGAACTATTGGGGCCAATCTGTTAACCCAACTGATGCAAGTTTACTACAAACTATCTCTTTATTTCACAAAGAATGGCGTGCCGTTAAAAATGTCGGACCGCCCTCTGAGCTGAAATGCAAGTTTTGCATTTTTTTATACTTTTTTGGTCACTTTTTGTCGGGTTTAACAAATATTTATTTGAATATTAATCCTCTTCATTTTTTACATCCGTTTGCGATATATGCAATTTTCCTAAATAAAAGAGTTACTTTGACAATTTAATTTCTTTTTTAATGCATTTTGGACTTTTCATACCCCCTCCCCCTCTATGATTGAATTTATTTGTAGCAATCAAACGTTTCCGTACGTTTAAAATCATTTCATTGTATAATGAGAACCAAGTAAACAATACTAAAACCATTCAATCTAATTCACATCTTAAACTCCAAGTCCACTCCAAAAATAACTTACTTTCAATAAAACCAGGAAAATCGGACAAACCAATTTAAAAAAAGTTTGAGCAAAATCTAATATCTAATAAGAAAGTTATGAATTTTGGAACAATGAAAATCACAAGACAAATTGGAAATTCACTCATGAGTCTGTCACGTCATGTCCTCACTACCCACTAATTGTTTTCTTTATATTGATAATATAAATTTCCTATTTTCCCCCTAAGAATCTTATTTCTTCACACCAGCATCCAAGTTAGATTGATAGTAATATGTTTTTGTGTGGATGCACTAATATAGAGTAATTTTGTTCAGTAAAATCATGAAAAATATGACTTTTGATAAACTATTTAGATAAAAATCAATAATTATGAATATACATTATTTAGAAAATAGTATCAATTCTTCAAAGTTCATAAAAGATTTTGTGCAATGTCATGCACGCAATATGATACAAATCATATAACTAGGGCAAAGGCATGAGGAAATCAAATTTTGGGGGGTTAAAAAGATAAACTATTGGGATTAAACTATACAATGCAATTGATAAATAGTGAGGAAATGACGTCACAAACTGATAACCAAATTGGCAATTTCTGTAGTGATTTCCATTGTTCTATAGTTTTACATACTTTTTAAAAAATTCATAACTTTCGCATTAGTCATCCGATTTTGCTCAACTTTCTTTTTGATTGGTTTGTCAGATTTTTCTGCTTCTATTGAAAGTAAGTTATTTTTGGAGTGGACTTGTACTTTAAATTCAGAATTTAGAGCTGCTTTTTTATTCTTTGAAGTGTAAATTTGTGTTCATTATCAAGAATTCACATCGGCCTAGCCTTCCATTTGGGGAAAAAAATAAAATCAGAAATAATTATTTTGTTGCTCTTGTTGTTTTCGATGGCGACGATCCCGGGGGAGGGGGCGACACGCCCCACCCCCCCCCCCCTCAGTTTGTTAGGGAGGATCGCTCCCCCTCCCCGGAAAATCTGAAATAGTGCTAAAACACAACTGCAACACACTTTTAGGCTCTGGAGGGCCCAAGAGTGCAGCGTTTAGACTGAAACAAATGCGAAAATCTTTTCGCTCGGGTGGCTACGCTCCCTCGCACTATGTTCTTCAAAATATACAAGTAAATGTTGTAGAAAATCTGTATTATGCTGGTATCACGTAAGCACAGTTTACACTATGCTCCCCCTCCCCCGTTAATGAAAATATAGTATTAATGACTGCTTTGAGAGAAATGGTTGTTAGAATTGTGCTATTGCCCCGAGGCGTGCCGAGGGCAATAGCCCAATTGTAACCTTCCCGAGAGCGTATAAAAACAACTATTTCTCGAATATAAAGCAGTCATTAATACTTTTATATGCCAAAAAAAAGAGTCAACTTATGACACCACCTTGGCCTTTCTCTAGTTTATCTGCACGGTTGTTTTTTATGAGTGTATCTTTGAGAGTAGACTAGATCTAGATTCTAGTCTAAGCAAGATATTTTTACAATTTTGGGGGTGGGCCGGCCCTGTGGGGAATATGGAGAAAAACCTGTGCTTTCATATGACACCTCACTTATTGAGTATCACCTTCAGGATCACGAGCAATATTAGTTTGAATCTCTGGCAATTAAAACATCGACCAATTTAGCATGAGTGCGATGCACAATGGCCAATGCATAGGGATGTGTGCAATCTCTACGGGAAGGATTTTAGCACTACTAGAGTCTAGACCTACTTACTAGACTCTAGGCCTACTAGATCTATTTTGAAAAAAGAATATGGAGAATTTAACGTACCCTTTTTGGTGCTCTTACTGTCAGCAAGTCTTGCATTTGATCATCATCAAGAAGTTGAAATCTTGGGAGAGTTTCTTCAGCCATTTTTGCCTTCGGTTTGGATATTGAAATTACCGACCAATTCTTCCCACACGTACGGTATCCTCGATCGCTCAAACCAGTTTTTAACATGTGAACCTATGGGTATTTCACCAAGACTGAACTATTTTTCCGGTAACCATGGTAACTGGAATTTTGCCGGGATTTTAGAACTATTATTTAAGAACTATTAAATGGGTTTGGAATTTTACCGGGAATTATACAGGAATAGTTAAAGTTTATGAATGCAATTTCGACCAATCAGATGGCTGGATTTCTTAAGTGAGGTATATAATAATAATTATTATTTGTATTGATTTATAAGTAGTAGTATCATCATCATCATTATTACTATTATTATTATTACTGTTAATATTGCAACTATAATCATCATTATTTTCGATTACTACTAGTATACTTATTCTTATTATCAGTATCAGCATCAGCATCAGCATCATCATCAATATCGTATTTATATATTTATCTGTTTTTTATTTGTTTTATGGATTTTTTTTTCTTTTCACAGTTGCAGCGCTCATTGTGAGGCCGCTACTGAGGTGCTTTTCGGAATACTGGCTCATCCACTTTTCGCTCATTTCTTCCATCTCCCAAATAGTGACGTCAGCACTGGCACAGAATACTGTTCAGCTAGCCATCATTGGTAGTGTAAACTTCTAAACATGTAAAACCCACTACTTTTGCGATATTACAACACGCTTTTCCACGATCTCTCAAAGGACATTTTTTGAAATAGTGTGTGTTGGAACAAATGGAAAAATTGTCCATCCCTACAGCACAGAGACATTGCCGATTAAGCCCATTTGAAGAGCCCTTACCTATAGTGATTACAACTTTTAAAATTCATAAATTTCTTATTTTTGGTCAGATATTATTCAAACTTTCACCAGTCTACTTCTCTGATTTTTCTGCTTTCCTCTAGATCAGTTTGCAAACAAGGTTAGATTTCGCTTGAAGCTCTTATCCACTCTCCTCTTTGGACTGGGTATTTCCTGTCCCCAATAAAACCGAGTTGAATAGAATAAGATGCTTTGAATTAAATGTAGACCAATATGGGAAACAGCATTATATAAACAATTTTGAGGAAATCACAAGACTCAGAAAAATGATCTAGGACTTTTTCTAAGATATAAAAGACCGCCATCAAATCTGTTCACCAGAAAATTGATTTCAACACGTCTTTACTCAATTGATATTGCTCACAACATGTTTTTTGTATTTGTGCACTGATATAATTTTTGTATAGATATTTCTACCATCAGGGCAGAGATCAAGGTGGGGGGGGGGGGGTTAAAGCCATACTGTACTATAGAACTAACCCAAAATCCTCTCTAGCGCCACCTCAGGTCAGCTACCGCAGTATGGTCCCGTTACTTGCTGCTGCTCTTGCTGCGCTGTTGGTTCTCGCACCGAGTCCTCCGTCTGCGAAGTGGAATTATGTATTGAGTTACGCACTATATTGGCAAGTTGACCTTGAGATGGCGCTGTATAATAAACAATATACGCTAGGGCAGAAAATTCATCAGTTCAGTAGCGCTTTAAATTTACCTGAATTAATATTTTGCCATCCATTTTTAGCAACTGTCGTCAGCTTCATGAGAACCACCGTTAAACCTGTTTGCAAGGATCTAATTTCCAGAGCGGTTTCAAAGAGAGAGCATGGTAAGAACTCAGTTCGTTGACAAATGTTTAGTGTTTATTTGCTTTGGGGTGTTGTTTTTTTTAATTTTTGTCTGTTTTGTTAATACATATGTATCAAATGTAAGGAAATTGCGAGACACCTTTAAATTTGTAGTTTATTCGGTAACTCGCCTCATCACGTCGTTTTTCACGATGGCAGACTGAAAACATAAATCTTTGGAAAGAAAGAAATGAATAAACTGCTGGCTTATATATACAATGTTTTAATTCCCAATACATGGAATATACGGTTTTAAGACACCTACCCCATGGACATCCATCCCCCTGACAACTACCACCTAGGACAACTGCCCCCAGACAACTACCCCCTAGGACAACTAACCCCCGGACAACTACCCCCATACAGTCTAGGGGTAGTTGTCCGGGGTAGTTGTCCTATGGGGTAGTTGTCTGGGGGTGGTTGCCCTAGGGGTAGTTGTCCTAGGGGTTAGTTGACTGGGGGTGGTTATCCGGGGTGGATATCCAGGGGTTAGGTGTCCAAATAAAATACATATAATTGATTTATCTACTTATTACAGGACAACATATATCATGTTCGAAAATGTATGTATCATCATGCGGTAGTCAGTAAGGAAGTTTCAGGCCACAATCAGTCGCAGATGGCTAGAATCATTTTTGGTATTATCTTTCCAGGAATGTATTTCGCCTTGTTATCCTTTGCTACGAGTCTAATGGCAGTGTGTTCACCCTTCCTCATCAATGGACTATTCGCATACACGAATAAGATTGGCTTCCCTCAAATCACATTTTATGTGACTTCAGTTATTCTACTTATCCCTCTGTCATTGAATGGGTAAGTCTACAGTTGTATACTTACCTTATACATCGACAATGTCTCTAAAAAACACTTATTTTTGAAAAAATAAACTAAGACGCAATTTAGATATACTAGGGTATTGTCAAAATTGCACACTTCATTAGGTGACGAGGCTATTGAAATTGCCTAAGTTTATTTTTTCGAAAGTATTGCCTTCATGTTCTACGCGCCTTACAGCTATTATAAGCCCGCGGTCACATGATTCATGCTTTCGCGTATACAATGTATTCATTCAGAGTCGTGCCAGGCGCTATTAAATAGACACTCAAAATGCTGAGCAAACTACTGCGACTCAAAATAATTATAAAAATAATTCACATGTTTCAATTCTGTAATCTACATCTATTTTGTAATTATAGAATGCTGCAGTACTACGTTCAGAAAACAAAGAGGGAAAAGGATTCGTCAAAACTCGACGACCAGCCCGACGGATCTCGTAACCAAACTCTACGTCTTGAACCCAGCGAAGATGAAATTTAATTTTTGCCTCGGAGCAATCCCAATCAACATTAAGCGAATAAATACCCGCATTATCAATGCTTGATTATGAAGTATCTTAAAAATAGTGACTTTACGATATATAGTTGTTAGGAGAGCTCTCCTACACCCCGACATATTGTGAGTTTTAACGATATGACCTTTAAAATTAATGACTTATACACGACATACCATAATAAATATATGTATTTAATGGGGTGATCCAGTAGGCAGGCGCAGATCCACAATGAGGGCCCGACGGGCCCGCCATCCCCCCTCCCCTAGCAAAAAAAAATGGTAAAAAAGAAAAAATGTTAACGTAAATGTTACCTCTTTTAAACAAAAACTAAAGCCCCCCCCCCCGCTTATTCTTGCGAATGTGCAAAAAAAGAGCCCTAACCCCTCCCCACCCCTTTTTTTGCTGGCTGGCTGAGTCGCCGCTAAATATTTCCTCACAAATTGGACCCCCCCCCCAAAAAAAAAACAAGCTCTTATCCTCCCCCCCCCCCCCCTCCTCCCACCCCCACCCCCCCCCCCCCCCCCCCCCCCCCCGCTTATTTACCGGCTGGCTGATTCGCCGCTAAATATTTTCCCACGAGTTGCCCCCCCCCCCTGTCCCTGATGGATCCGCCCCTGCCAGTACGTTGTAAGATTGTAATATGTAAATAATATGTAAGTACATAACATTAGAAAAGCAGGGCCGTTCAAAAATTGGGGTTCCAGGGACCCCCCTCTTCTTCCAAAGGAGAATATGATCGAACAAGATTGAGACAAAGCTGAAGGTATTTTTTCAGACTTGTTTTAAAAAGGACAGCACCCTATACAAAAATCTTAGTCTCATCGGTGGAATGTGGCAATCAAAACCCAGGAACCCCTCAAGAAAAGGTTGATAGGGTGCGGGATAGGTATACAATCTGGTATGGCAAGGTGAAGTAATGTAAGGGGACCACGCTCAAATGTGACATTAAAGTAAGAGTAGTCATAGGTCAAAATGTTTTATCCTTTTCATAGCGAGGCAGGCAGTGGACATTTCGTTTTATTTACATTGTATTGGTTTATACAGAAACAGCATATCCTTTAACATGAACAAATTTCAAAGCATATCAATAATATTTAAAGTTCATTGGCAACAATGTTTCAAAATAATGTGCAAGAAAAATATGAATTTCAGATTAATTAATGAACTATAGATATCATTAAGCTTCTCCATAATATCCTGTCATTTGTTATTAATAGTATTGTACCATAAATATCCCAGCCATACCTAACTAGAAATATAATGTACTAGTAATATACTCTACAACTATCGACGTTGAGATAATAAAACTGTAAATAAAGTTAATTGTGTGTACAGTAAGAAGTGTGCGAAACGTATCCATATAATTATTTACACTGCTGGTTTTTATACTGTTGTACTACAGCATTATTAACTATGAAAACGTGAATAAGAAGTACGCATTTATATTTCGATAGGATATCGTAGGCAGGCGCTTACACAGGGAAGTGTTTTTGTTTTTTTGCTCAAGGGGTGTGCTGAGTAAGAAAAAGAAATCAATGCTCGCCCCCCCCCCCCCCCCCCCTTCATAGATACGCCAATGCTTGGATTCAAACAAATTGGCTAGATTACAAAGACTCTCCCTTTTTTCCCCCTGAAGGTATTTCATTACCAACTTTCAGATAAACCAATTATCCACAAGCTAGGTTTGTATTATAATTTTTTCGGGGTATTCCATGCTTCGACGAATTCATCTTAAATGATATGCATGCTTCATCAATCATCACAGTTTGTGTCCAATAGTACCATTGAATGGTCTTATTGTCATGATTGTTGGTTCTCGTCAATGGTTTTATTTTGCAAAATAACACACAAGATGACTGAGAAATTTGACGGAATGCAAGAAGTAATCGATGAGATCTAGGGACCCTTCAATCAACGGGATTCCGTTTTAGAACGTCTTCTTCTCCTGTCGCACGCAATAGAACACCTTCTGAAGTAATCGCGTTATTTTTGCTGAAAACAAGAGACAAAATAAAGAACAAAACAATGTTAATTTTTAGACAAAAGAGAAATACAGCTATGCAACAACTATAATTCTACTACAACCACTACATCTACTGCTACTACTATTACTAGTACAACAAATATAATCATGAGATCATAACTTAAATGTTGTGATGATACGGATGGTGGTAAAAATGATACTGAAAACGACGATGACGATGAAGGTGGAGGCAATGGTGATAAATTTGGAGTTAGAAAGTTGAAATTATTTGTAAATAATGTACAAACCGCATGAGTATATAGATTTACCGGCTCGGAGATTAAATAAACACTTATACATAACAGGCCCTCGATATTCCCTGAAGATGCGTTGATAATTTTGTTAAAACCAATGATGATCAAAACACATATTCTCTTCAGGCAGATTTTGTATAATGTTGCCATGCAGGTTAAAATCTTATGTTAACATGAAGAAAAAAAATCTTAACAAAAGAGACAACTTTTATTTGTCGTCACTTCTGATGTTCTGATGCTATTGTTTTCTATTTCCACAGAGTAAACGGCTGGAGAAGGCGAGGATGTTGGTCAAGCGAAAGACGCAGAGACATGCAAGCGAGAAATTGATAGATGAAGAAGCGAAAAGCTAAGAGAGATAGATTAGGGACATGCAGGATGAGTGTGTGTGGGCGGCTTTGGTGGGTGGCTGTGCGTGTGCGTGCGCGTGTGTGTGGTAAATGTGTATTTTTAATTGGGATTTTACAGACGTGTATCAATCAGATAGGATAATGTACGTCTGGGGACCGTCATTTTAGAAACTGAACTTTAAAGAGAAGAATTAAGTGCTGGGCCCCGTCTTATATACAGTTGCGATTATAAATCGCAGCTACAATGATATTAGGAGACTGTAAACTTTCGATTAGTTGGAGGACTTGCGATTGATTCTTATCAATCGAAACTCTTTATAACATGGGACCCTGGTAAAGGTTAAAACCATGTGAAAACAAAATACTAATGATAATTTCCGTAAATGTCACAAAGAAGTGTCCACAGAAAAAGATAACTCTCCAAAAGCCCTCATATTCGTAATAACAAAACGGCGGAGCATAATTTTCATGACACATGACAATGTCTTGTCCCATATACACAATTCTTATCAGTTTGATGATTCCACATCCTCACTGTATACATCAATACTAATTAATCAAATACCCCCAGACTGCTTCTTTAACGATGAAATCGATTGACTAGAACTCAACTCATCTTTCATGATGAAAACTTACCCGAAACCGGTCTGAGACACTTAATCCTGTATTTGGGTGTACCAGGGCGTAGTAGATTGGAATTCCAATCAATCCAATAAATAAACCGGCACCTTTCTTGATTGGATCAGCGTAGAGAGACATGCTAGCGATGAAAATCAGCGTAGCTAGATACAGGAAGGCCAGAACAAGTGGAACCTAGTTGCACAAGATAATGTTGATAAACATTGACTATAAAATATCCGGAGCTGAGATGAATACAATAGTCTCTTAATAGAAAGTATGGGTATTCAAGTCACCGAGACCCCATAGACTTAACAAGTGTCTCAAATAAAGACAGTGTGCACTTTATTGACATTAGTCATCATTAAAGACCATATTACACAAGAAATAGGTCTAGGTTTCAGTATAATCATGATCTATAAAGATCTTTCTTTGATTGATTGATTGATTGATTTTTATTCGACAAGCTTCCAACATACAACAATATACAATAATAACAGATCAAAAATAAGTCAGCTTGAACAGGATAACCCACGAAAGCTCGAGAGCTTATTTCCAGTGGGGTCCCTTACAGACATGTATACAATTAATAAATTAAAATAGTAATATTTACAGACAGATAAGAAAATTAAAAGAACTACTTATCAAAGATAATAATAACAACATTAAACTGATGATAGAAATGATATTAAGTACAAGAAGAAAAAGAAGAAGGAGAAGAAGAAAAAGAGGAGAAGGAAGAAGAGGAAAATAATGATGAATTTGTAGAATTTCTATAACGTACGAAAACATAAGTATATACAACATGAAAAAGTATGAACCGACAGAAGAATAACAATTTCAATCATATAACATGTCATTCACTTCTCTTCTCTGACTGTCAAGTATTAGGTATTCCTTTAATTTCCTCTTAAAATGATCATAGTTTCCTATTTCTTTTACACCATTGGGAAGGGAATTCCAATGTTTTATGGCATTGTAATAAAACGAATTTCCAATACTACCTACTCTTTCTGGTAAGTTAAAGTTGAATCGTCTATTTCTTGTATTATAATCATGTACGTCAGTAACAAGATCGAAGTTGGATCGAATATAATGATTCGACCTAGTATGATATATTTTATGCACGTGATGCAATGCGAGTTGTTTTGATCTTTGGTCGACTTCAAGAAAACCAGCTTTAGAAAGTTCGCTATAGCCAACATGAGTTCTTGGACCAGAACAGTTGATAAATCTCACCATTTTGTTCTGTATAATCTTCAACTTCTTTTGATCTGACTTGTTTATGTTACTGTACCATGCAGGGTTAGCATAGTCAAATAAACATTGAATAAGAGCAAAACAGAGTGTACGTCTTGCTTTTAAATCCATACAACTTTGATATCTGTACAAAAATTTCAGACGAGAATTTGCTTTTTTTACAACTGATTCTACTAAAGATGAAAATGAAATTGCGCTAGCCAACTCAATGCCTAAATACTTCACAGACTCTTTTCTCTTGATTGCTTGATTATTGTGTCTCACTTTGAATTCAAATGACTTTTTAGAACTACTTTTAGAACAAAATAAAATGCTTTCTGTTTTTCCCAAGTGTAAAGAAAGCTTATTATCAGTCATCCAATCGACACACGTAGACAGCTGTTCACTGAGCTTTTCCTCAATATATTTAGGATCAGGATTTGAATAGAGTAGTACGCTGTCATCTGCGTACAATAATAGTTTGAAGTCTTTTATACAAGTACACATATCATTTATATAACTTGAAAATAGAATTGAGCCTAAAATACTTCCCTGAGGAACACCGCATGTTATAGGCATTAGTTTGGAACGAATATCATGAATGGCCACTACTTGGTGCCGATTAGATAAGTAGGATCTGAACCAATCTAAACTTGCCTTATCAAAACCCATTAGTTGTAACTTCTTCAATAAGACGCAATGATTAACTGTATCAAAAGCTTTTTGCAGATCAAGGAGCACCATACCAACAAAGCGCCCTTGGGAAGTTTCTCTCCTCAAATAATCAGTCAAATGAATTAGACATGTTTCAGTCGAATAATCATGTCGAAAACCAGATTGAAATTCATAAATTATATCATTTTCTTTGAAGTATCTTTCAATTTGAACACAGACCGATTTTTCTAGAATCTTTGATGCTACGCTTAAAACACTAATAGGTCTATAGTTGCTAACATCAGTTTTATCTTTCTTTTTATAAAGTGGAGTCACTTTTGCTATTTTCATATCTTCTGGAAAAGTACTCGTCAAGATAGATAGGTTCATTAAGTAACTTAGAGGCTTAAATAAAACCTTCGCACCATCTTTTAGAAATTTAGCTGGAATCAAGTCTAACCCAGTACTTTTTGATACATTCAACTTACGTAACTCTTTGAAAACAAATTGTTCACTGATTGGTAATAACTCGAAGCTGTTTTCACGTACACCTTTTCTTTCGTAAAAGTCACGAATACAATCATTGTCTGCGCTGAAAAAGTCTTTGGAAGGGGGGAGTTTGTCTACTAATTTGGCAGCCACATTTGTGAAATGAGAATTGAATTCATCAGCGATGGCCATCTTATCATGACATAATTCCCCATCAATTTTAATGACAGATTCTTGTTCTTTTCGCTTCTTATTTTTCAATCCTAAGCTTTTTAGATTCTGCCAAAGTTTTTTCGAATCTTGTTTATTTTCTTCTATCTTGTTTTGTAAGTAATCGAGTTTAGCCTTTTTCACCTCTCTTTGGACCATATTTCTTAATACTCTGTATCTTTTATAGAGCTTCTCATCTTTTGCTCTTTTCCTCCATTTTTTGTATACTATATTTCTCTCTTGAATTAGGGAAAGAATATCTTTAGTCACCCAAGTTTCTGATCTTTGTTTTATTCTTATCCGTTTCAGTGGCGCTATCATATTCAAATTTGAGATAAAAACATGTTGAAATATTGACCATGCCTCATTTACATCTGTACAGTCAGTTATTCGTGACCAATCAACAACAGATAGTTGAAGATTGAAAGACTCTTCTGTATATTTTTTCATGGATCTGATATCATTAGTCCTGTGATGACCTATAGCCAGTCTAACATTTTTCCGTGTACAGAAAGTAAAATAATGGTCGCTAATACCTAGATCAATGACACCACTTTGACTTATTTTATTTTCTTTGGTACAACCAACATGATCCAATAGAGAAGAACATGTAGGTGTAACGCGTGTTGCGTCTTTAATGAGTTGACTAAACCCATGAAGACTCAACAAGTCAATATATTTTTTAGCCAGTGGCGATTTGCGAAGAAGACAAATATTCATGTCTCCTAAAAGAATTATTTCGTCATCCTTCTTTAATGTATCAAGAATATTGGACAATTTCTCGATAAACAAATTGTTTTTCGGAGGTCGATACAGAACACCAACAACAATTGGTTTTGATCTTGGTATAAGCAAATTTATCCACAGGGATTCCGTATCTCCAGTACTTATAGCATCCATAATATTAAATGCAATATCATTTCTGATATAGAAACATACACCACCTCCAGAGCCAGAGGATCGATCATGGCGTATGATTTTATATCCGTCTATTTCAATTTCTTCATCATTTATGGAATTGTTTAACCATGTTTCAGTGAAAGCAATAATAGACAGCCTTTTTCTTTTAAAAAGAATTCTAAGTTCCGATATCTTGTTTAGAATAGACCTCACATTAAGGTGTAAAAAATGAAGACCTTTAACTTTAAACTTTTCTTCAAATTCTTGATAAAGAGAAGTGTTTTCATCTCTGAGGTTTGGCTGAATTACTCTTGCTATCGCTTGCTTTTCAGGTGTAACGCGCGTTATCTTAAAATAGTTTTCTTTTAGTCTATCCTCGTTTTGGCTTTCTTTCTCTAAACAATCGTCGTTAAATAATGAGTCACAAAAAGATGGCAGACAACATGTTAAACAATTCCACTTCTCATCAGGGCATTCATAATATAACCTGCGGTACTCTGAAAAACTGATAGCTTGACAATTAGTGTGAAACCATTTTTTACAATAAGAACACAGAAGGCCGTGTTGATTACCCTTGATTACCCTTGCGTTGATTACCCTTGCGTTAAGCATAAGGTCGTAATAAGCTCGTAACTTAAATAACATTTGCATATTTGATATGATACTGCTCACATTGGAAGGTGCAAACCATTTTCTCTCTGTTATTAGTTTATAAAGAGAGACATCCCTGTCCTGTTTTTTTAACGAATTATGTATATATAGACCAGTCAAAGCCTTAGTTTGCCAGTTATCAGACAAATTTACTTAGCGACATGCCCGCGCCACGCGCCAACGACAGTTTGCAAGCGGTGCGATGTTTACCTTGTAAGGACGGGGAAGATTCGGATGTTTCCATCGGTAATAAGGTACAATGGCCACGGTGATCGTTTCGAATACGACATCGGCGAAACCCAGATACTCTACCAACGCGATGATGTCGTTTTCGATCAAGTAGATGAGACTGATAACGGAAAACAAGATGGCGGGGAGCGGGGTCCGCCGAGTGATGGAAACCATGGAGAAGATTTCGGGGAAGTGTCCCTCTCTCGCAGCGGCAAATCTTATCCTGAATGGATGGGAAATATAGTTGTAAAAGCAAGGGGGAATGAATATTACACCATGTGGTTTGCAATGGTACAATTTCCCTTGGAGAATTGTACATTAAAACCCCATCGAAGATTAAAAGCATAAAATGTTGCTGGTGGGCTTATGAGACGAATGTCTATTATACTGGAAGGCAGACACCAAGATAATTAAGCCCGTTAGATCCCATTATAGACATTTTCCTGTAATCATAGAATACTATTTTTTATTTTCTAATTTTATAGAAAACACTGACTTAACTTATAAAATTAGAACCCGAAATACAAAACATGTTTCTTGTATACGATCGGTTTTGCATAACTATATAGGTCCTACAATTGAACACAATATTGTTGTTTGACTATTTCGATACAACCAGATTCACTTCTTTTCACCAATGTCTCCACCAAATGTGCAATGTCTGTTATTCCGTTGTCACTATAACTGGTTTTCAAGGAACAAATAAGAGATTCAGACTGTAAAATACCCATCCCCTTAAAGGGGAAGTCCACTCTAAAAATTACTTACTTTCAATAGAAGCAGATCAGACAAAATCAATCAAAAAGTTTGAGCAAAATCGGATAACTAATAAAAAAAAGTTAGGAACTTTTAATGAAATAAAAAACTTTGAAAATCACATGACAAATTGGCAACTCAGTCATGAGTCTGTGACGTCATTGCCTTACTATCTACTAATTGTTTCTTTATATTGATCATATAAATGTCATATTTTCCCCCAAAGAATCTTATTTCTTCACACCAGCATAGATTGATGGTACCATGTTTTTGTGTGGATGCACTAATATAGAGTAAATTTTTTTCAGTTAAATCATGACAAATTTGAATTTTGATAAACTATTTATATAACAATCAATAATTATGAGTATACAATATTCAGAAAATAGTATCAGTTCTTCAAAGTTCATTAAAAAAAATTGTGAAATGTCATGTCACGCAATATGATACAAATCATATAACCTGGGCAAAAAGGTATAGGGAAATCTAGTTTTGGGGATAAAAAGGGAAATAAATTGGATTAAACTATATAAAGCAATTGATAAATAGTGAGGACATGACGTCACAAATTGATAACCCAATCGGCAATTTGTGTAGTGTTTTCCATTGTTCCATAGTTTAACATACTCTCTCAAAAATGTATAACTTTCTTATTAGTTATCCGATTTTGCTTAACCTTTTTTAGATTGGTTTTGTCTGATTTGTCTGCTTCTATTTAAAGTAAGTCATTTTTGGAGTAGAATTGCCCTTTAAACATTGGTTAAATTATTGGTGATTTAAGTTAATATTACGGGAAAAAAAGAAAAGGTTTGATAAGATTTTTCGAAGTACCAACTAAAGAGGACTTTACCTTGCCGATTTGAAAAGACCGCTGTTTTGACTTCCCAAGGCGGAGAGGGCGACAAACAGCCAGATGATCCATGACCACTTGATTCCAAGAGCTAGCACGCTGTAGTCCTAAATGAATTGAAGTGAAATATTCCCAACACTAATTGATTTGTACTACCACTTTCATTTTGACATGAACATCCACTTCAAGTGCCACTTCTACTCCCACTTCTTAATACTACTTTTATTTCTACTGCTAATCTCACTTCTTAAAACCCCTTTTACTTCTACTTCTAATCCCACTTCTTAAAACCACTTTTACTTCTTCTTCTATTACAACCTCTTATACCACTTTCACTTCTATCCCACTTCTTATACCACTTTTACTTCTTTATCTACTCCGATTGCTTACACCACTTTCATTTCTTATATCACTTTTACTTCTATTTTTTCGCCCACTTCTTAATACCACTTTTACTTCTTCTACCACGTTCATTGTTTAAACCACTTTCACTTTTTATCACTTCTATTCCAACTTATTATACCACTTTTACTTCTTTTTCTATCCCACTGCTTAATTCCACTTTTAAATCTTGAACCACTCTACTCACACTTCTTCATACCACTTTCACTTCTTATACCACTTGTACTCCAACTTTAATTTCTACTTCTTCTCCTCTTCCTCACACTACTACTACTACTACTACTACTACTACTACTACTACTACTACTAATACTACTACTACTACTACTATTTCTATTACTACTACTTCTACTACAAATACTATTACTAGTACAAATGCGACTTCAAAACAATATGTAATAGTTCTTACCGCTGCAACAGCTTCGGAGGTGATAATCTGATTCGGTGAGAGGAGAGTAAGGTAGGCGACGTTGGTCATGAGGTATACCACCGTGATCAATGACATCGAGATCAAGATACTAAGGGGGATGTTCCTAAACAAAGCAAAAAAAAATTGTAGATGTGATACACCAGACATCGTAGAGGTAGAGGTGTTGTGGTCCAGTAGATAAGTCTCCTGACTAATCAACCTCAAGGTACGGGGTTTGAATCCCTGCCACAACACCAACGTCCTTTGGCAAGACGTTAATCTATATATGCCAGGTGAGTTAAATGGGTATCTGGTAGGATTATTCCTTGAAATGCACTGTGCGCTGATAATGGCTGCCGGAGCTAAAGGTAGGGTAATACTTTCCAAAGCTCTTTTAGATCGCATAGGGATGTTAAATCATACTGTATTATACAAGAACGAATTATCATAATTATTATCGTGTACCAAAACGTATTTCAACCTATTCAAGGAGTATTATTAACGATTCCTTTCTCTGCAGTTGAATTCGATCCACATTAATGTGAAATCAACCAAAATTAGTGGCTGAATAACTTGCAATTATCATTTCATGGTTTATTTTTGGAAGTATGAGTCCCCCTTTCTCCCTCAATTGACTTAATGGCTATATATTATCTAATCTATTTGCTTCAATTTTACCTTTGAGGGTTCTTTACTTCTTCGGTTATGCTGGTAATAACACTCCTGTAAAACAAAGAAGCAAATAAAACACTGTTAGAGTAATAAATATAATACTGTTAAACGTAGATTTATTTATTGATTTACTTTTGGGGGGCAAAATAATTCTGCTCGCATAAAAATGTGAGGTGTCAAATTGTCTCTCTGTACCAATAATTTATCTTGTTGTCACATTCTGTAGAATAGGTTAACAATAATTGATTTAAATTATTGATTCAAAGCACTAAGAAGAGTTTTAATGTCTTCGCACGAGGATGGCAAATGTCTTTTGCATGTATTCTCTCACATGATTTTGATACTTTCTGATGATGATGTAGAAAATGATATGCACGCATTTAGTGTTGAAATGGAACGAGAGAGGGCTTTACATTTCATATTACTTAGCAGTGATATATCTGGATAGGTGGGGGGGGGGGCATCGGGGAACATACCCCTTCCTCTAGAAAGCATTTGTTGTTTAAGGGGGCAAAGGAGGAAAGGTTGGAGAGTTTTTGAATGTGGCTGTGGAGAAGATGGCACAGATAAGTTTGGTGGATAGAGTGACAAATGGGGAAGACAAATGGATTGAGCATATTCTACGGCATGGTGGACTTTCAGAGAGATATCATTGAGGGAAGGATGGATTGAAAAAGACAAAGGGAAAGGAAAAATAATTCATGATGTTGGATGGTATCAAAGCAAAATGATACATACCAAAATAATAAGAAAAGAGCTGAAGACTGAGAAGAATTAGTTTTGTTCACGCTCAAAACCTGCTGTACCGGAGAGCACCAGGGAAAGAGAGAGAGAGAGAGAGAGAGAGGGGGGGGGGAGGGAAGGGAAAGAGAAAACTAAAAACACATAATCGTATTCAGTCCATTCACTTGGTGTAGAACTCGTACAACCCAATGACACCATTGCCCCCCCCCCCCCCTCCCTCACTCGTTAACTGAACATGCGCTGCTGTTTTTAATGGAATAGATATATATAAACGAAGACACAAACCATCCGCTGTACGCCCAGATACCGGAGAGTAGACCGGTAGGGAGAAGAGTGACGTCATAGGATCCAGTGTTGAACGCGTGCTGGAAATGTTCAGTGTGACCTTAAAGGGATGAAAAGCATGTTAGATTCATTTTCATAGATTTTTAAAATATATTTAATGTACACTTCTTCTTTCATTGCATACATGCAGTAGCGGATCTGGAGGAGGTCGGGAAGCTGACTTAACAAACCCCCGCCCCCACACAAAAAAAATCTTCAAGCCCCTACCCCCACCCCTAAAAAAACATGCGAGGCGCATGTAGAAAATTGATGCTAGAACCCCCAAGCCAACCAAACACAGCCCCTCAAAAGACCCGCCTACCAATTATTCTAGAATCACTCCTGCCAGATTGGAGGTATGATATCGAACGCATCCCGTATGAACATACGTAAAAGACATTTTGTACCCATTCTAAAGTACACAAGTTTTGGCCTACATGTTTAAAAACCAGGGATGGGTGAAGGGCATGCGGGAGGGTATATTAGATATTCTGTTTTCTAAGGTTGATATACATTGAACGTCCCCTCTCCCCCTTCTCTCTCCTTTTCTCTATAACCCCCCCCCCCCCTCTCTCTCTCTGTCTGTCTGTCTGTCTCTCTCCCCTCTCTCTCTCTCTCTCTCTCTCTCTCTTTCTCTCTCGTTTTTGCACCAGATTACGCTTTCTCTCTTCCTTTCTTGTCATTGAAGGGACGCCCCCTGTCTACTATATATCACTGACCATAATGAATAACATGAATAGTGAATGTATGTACCTAGTGTCAGGTTATGTAGCCCAGTTATGATGATGATGACCAGACCGGCAACCTTCGTGATACTCAGCACACCAGCCAACTTGGATGCTAAACGAACACTGAAACAGTTTACGGCCTGGACAAACACTGCGGGGCAAAAATTACTTGATAATCATACAAAACACGTAGAACATATATTTATCTTAATGATATGTGTTTCAGAAACATAAGGAATTATTTTCAATATTACGCTAAAATAGCAAACAAGATTAAGTAATAATGTGGTTGACAATGATGGGATATGCTATGTAGCAAAGCTATTATGGATTGATTAATCTTTTTTTAGTGCAAGTCTATCTGTAGATCGGTCGTGGGATAATACAACTAAAAAGAATATTTACAATAATATTGATACACAAAATTGTGAAGGCAACTACCCGGCCCCCAGAAAAGAAAACAGATTGCGAAAGTCGAAGGTAAAAGACTAGACTGTGGAAACAGAGAAGATGGAATGAAAAGTTAGAGAAAGACTAGAGAGGAAGAGAAAGACTAGAGGGAGAGAAAGAATAGAGAGAGAGAGAGAGAGAGAGAGATCCGCTGCATGTCCAAAAGTGGATAAACCGAGGGTGAAATCTTCCCTCAACGAGAACAGTACCCCTGAGTTTAGGAATTCTATTAGGACCCGCGTGTCATAGAAGTGCAAATTTAATGATTTGTTTATTATCTCCTAACCCCCTTTACCCAATTGTTATTATCTTCAAAACTCACATAGGCAGATGACGCTTACGAGGCGTAGCGATACGACAGGTGCTTCCACGCACTGAAAAAAGGGAGTCAGCAAGTATCTTGATATTGTCATTACTCCGATAGCTGCACCACTCGGGGCAATGATAAACTGAATCACCCATAGTCGGATAAAGGCCATCAGGGGTCCCCATGCCTGCAAGATGAAGGTGAAGTCCCCTCCTGACTTCTTCATGATGACGGACAGTTCAGCTAGCGTGAGGGCGCCACAGCGTTGATCATGGCGCATACTATCCACAGGATGAAGGAGACACCCACGGAACCTCCTGCACCTCGAAGGACACCAGTCGGAGAGATAAAAATGCCTGTGCCAATAATCGACCCAATCTGCGTATAAAAGCAAACGTTTGATAATAGCCTCAGTAGGTCTTTGATTCTGTAGACATCACCTTGCTCTACAAAATGTAAAGGCAAGAACATGACGAAGAATGTCCTTCATTTCACTCTCCTGGCAGCCTTTCCTTTGGCTTGCTATTACAGGCGACATGTTTCAGAATTCAAATCCTGCTTTTTGTTCACTTTTTAAACTCCTGAAACTGTCTACTACAACGTCGTGTAAGAAAAGGTCATGCTTAGAACACGATCGCAAAGACTTTCGATAAATCAACTCAAGGACAATTTCGATACCCCCACTGGATCACCTAATAGGTGATCCAGTGGGGGTATCGAAATTGTATAGTATGTACATTATTCTCAGATTACGTAATTTTGTTGTAATGTTCGCACATTTTAAAAGGTTTCTGACAAGGCTTTTGAATGTCTTGATGAAAAGTGTTTTGACATATGATCCATAATCATTTTAATATTTAGTTAATTCTCTTCGTTACGTCATTCAATTGAAGGGCATGGTTTCGACTCAATTTTAGACTCAATGATTGGTCCCCGATTTCCGACGTTGCCGATCGGGTAACTGTTACAGCTGAAAGGGATTAGTTGAGTTTTGTGCAGAGGGCGCTACACAAAATAATTCTTGTGAGATAATGAAAAACTAAAAATTTGAAAGAATATACAATTTAAATAACCAAATCATCAAAATTGTTTCAGAGTCGGCTGAAATACCATAAATATAACCATTTCTAATATTTGTGATGCCCGACAAATATTCGGTAATTTTGAACCAGCTGTTGAAAAACGAGATAGCGTCTTTACTTTATATTCCAGCCACAGCCAATATTGGCTTTTTGTTGGATTTTTCGTGTTGGTAATAATACGCACAATCAGCAGGCCCGTGTATTGTTATTATTAATTAATTAATTAATTAACGGTCATCGTATTTTTTGTAAAGTGGAGCTGAAATGTCATGATCGTATTCGATCTAAATTCACACATTTTGGGGTCTAAAATTACCTTCATAGCAATTTTAGGTTCTAAAAGGGCACTTGAAATGTCATAATAAGAATAAGAGCAATAACCATGCACTTTGAATTTATAAGAACTCAACTATCCTTAAGGCTTGTAAGGAATATACTCACCAAGTGCCAAATGCAGTCAAAAAGCCCAAGATGTCGAGGAATGGCAACTTTGGATGTCGAGTCAGCGTCATTATTTTTATCCAAAAGTGCATGTCGATTGTCCGTCCTCTTCATGTTTGCTTTTATCGACGTGATCAGGTATACAAAAGCTGTAAAAAGCAAAGACATATATTCTATAATTAAAATCTTCTACCGTGTAATACTTGCTTTCAACATATCTCAAACCTTGGTCAAAATTTGTTTCAAGAAACCTCTTACCGAATTTTGAAATATCTCAGACAAAAGAAAGGCCGCAAAGAGCAAGCAGTGTGTGTTTTGTGTATGGTTTGGTTATCAAAGTACTGAAAATTTAAGTGCTGTATGACATCAGAAGTGAAGGTATAAATGATAATATAATCTTTATCTCTTGCAGGTCTCAAAAGCAAAGTGTTTATAACCAGAGGGACATAAATACAGTGATTCACATTAATTATGCAAGTATATCGAGTTTTTTAAACAAATTTAATAGAGATTTTTTTTTGTTAATGTTTAGAAACAAAGCGCAATTTATTTAATGCGCACTTGAAATCATGCAAATATTATTTATGTTTTTACATTTAAAGTAATAATGTCAATCTTTTCACAATATTGAATTAGACGCTAAACTATAACCAAAGTTAAGGTGTATTTTGCATTCGAGATTAGTGCAACACAAATAATGAGATAGCAACCACAAAAAAAAGAAGAGTCAGGGTACGAGCAGCCGGTATACACACTAGAAAAATACCCCTTAACGCGTATACCGGCGCGTACAGCAGGATTTTGAAACATTTTTTGAAAAATGATCCCTTTTCTTGAAAATGGCCAAAAAATTGACGTTTTTGAACCCCTAAAAACTTTTTACGCGTTTTGTTGGTCACGCATGGAAATAGTATTTATATTTTACTGAGACCCCCGGTGGTTCATTCCTATTAGTCCTTTTGCTATACAAATAATACACAGGTGTGAGTGCGTTATAGTCGATTAGCGAATGAGGGTTTTTACTATGGTGCAATAAAATTCACGATCGAGGCGTAGCCGAGTGTACTTTGTGCCGATGTGAATACCAGAATAGCGCGCTGCATTGCTGTGTATTAATTGTTTTATAAAATGGGTCGACAATCTTACTTAGCAAGGCCATAAGATGTCTCCCCGAAACCTTCATCCACGGTGATTATCACCAAAATGCACCCCATGCAGATGAGTACCGTGCATAACGAGGTGTAACAAATATGGCGCGGTCACGTGATCCATTTAGACGCTTCTCATAGGCTACATTCTTGAACCCATTTTATAAACATTTTATTTTAACATTTAGCGGATCCTCTAGATTTTATACCAAATATGTTGTAACTAACAATGTAGCCATCGGTATCACTGATTTCCAAAAATTATTGTGTGAATGGGCTGATGATTTTTCACAGGACATGAACCTATGATCCAAAAACAAATCAATAGGAAAAGCCTTGGTAGCTTTGACGCGCGTATCCGGCAAAAGAAAAGTGTAAGGGAAAGGGAAATTAACTAAACATGTCCGTACTTTGGTTGAAAATATTTAGTTTTCTTACATTTTAAAGTCGTACTCAAAATCCATGATAAATGCTTAGATTACACAAAATCAGGAGATGCATCAGGATAAGACATAATTTTGCCCCATCACGACTACAGAACTCTCCAATCGAAAAGTTCCCCCTCTGAGTTGCAGGGCCGTAGCCAGAGTATGGGGTTTGGGGGCACATACATGTAATTGATCGACGTCCTGGGGAGGGGTCTAAAAAAGTTCAACCGATCTTGGAAATTTTGGGGACACATATAACACAATTTCATTTAGTTCTTTTGGGAGATAAAACTTTGGTCTACCTTCCTAGCTATATGTATAAATTTCGGAAATTTTCGGAAAATGTCAATACAATAATTAGATGAGAAAACCATGATGATGAAAACCTTACATTCGCTCTAACTCACGATTTCTTTGGTCGATTTCGCTGCTTGAAATGGCTTTGTCTTCAGTAGAGCTATCCGCACGAGCACGAAAAAGGCGTTTGATAACCAATAGAAAGTTGCATTGATCATTTGTTGTGAATTTTGTATTTTATAAATTATGTTATAGTACATATATCTTCGCTGATCCTACTTTTTGCGGTGGCACGCATGACTTCTAATCTTGATGCCTGCATATTTTTACCACCGCGTGAATAAAGAACTTAGGGAAGCGTTGCGTAATATCTGGAATGCCAGAGGAGATCTGTGCATTGATAAGGACAGTTATGATGGATTTGATGGTTTGAGAGGGTACCATTTCTTTTTGTTAAGCCAGGTTAATCTTGGAAATAACTTTCCCTCGGGAAATTCTTTCGAGAAGGTATCTCCATTCATTCCAGATTCCAGGTCAAAGTGCACCTGGCTGCCGGGCTATTACGTGTTTATCCTATGCCTAGCAAAAATTAACGTTGCATTTCACGTTCTTACTGATGAAATACAATTATTAATAACAGGTGAATTCAAAAAATTTGTAACATGGCACTTACAAAGATTTGTGCCTTGAATTCGATTACATTACGAAAATGGTCTATTGGGAGAATTCCTCACAAACAATGTTTCTTAATGGTTTCACCTCTAAAAGGGGGTATCTCATTTAGCGGCGAATGCGAACGATTCGCCAACTTTTCTGACGAGTGACGAATGTTGGCGAAAATCAGCGACTTTAAATGAGGTTTAGCGACAATTATAGCAACATTTGAGCGAATGTTTCTGAAAGTGTTTGCGAAAGGCAGTTGGCGACTATTAGCCACTGTAAGCAAATGTTAGCGACAGTTTTAGCAGAGATTGGTAACTACATGTATTTGCCAATCCGTTGCCACTATTTGTGATCGCTTGAGACCTTCTGATAACTCCAGGTACTCAATTTACTCTATATTCCTCATTCAAGGTTGGTTTACTTTAACTGACTTACCCAACGGTGCTTTCTTCGGTCATTGCGATCTCTGGACTCCTGAAATACAAATGATATTGTAACAACAAATAACGAACTGACCTAGCTGATCGCTTTCCTCGATCTGATACTCGAACCGTGCGAACTTCGTGCCTGGGCGGCTCTCGCTTGAACACACATTCATAGGTTATTAGGCCTATGTCTGTGAAAGTACAACTGTAGAGATATCAGAGGTCAGTTGTGAACATAATTATGTAGACATATCTAAATTCGCTACTACATGTTATTTCGCTACTACAGTCATGTTCTTTCGCTACTACATGTTCTTTCGCTGACATATCCAGTTCTGAAAATATGTGGACCATGATTGTTTATATTTTTTAATTTGTACCCCCCCCCCCCTCACACAGTAGGCCTACGGAGTTTTTTATTATATAATAGTGCAGTACATAATTTGCCTTCATTATAACAGCTATTGAGTGATAATAACAATGACTGGATGCAACATTGAACATGAATAATATGACACATACTGTGTATATATGCCACTGACCGTAAACTCACATCATTAAAAAGATTGAAAGGGGACCTTTTTATAGTGTGGAACGGTATGTCACTGAAACAGCTCCCGTAGGATTTTGTGCCAAATTTGATTTTTTTTTTTTTTTTTTTTTTTTTTTTTTTTTTTTTTTTTTCCATTTTTGGATTCATTGGGGTCCAAGCTATCATAAATTGATGGGGTTCAAATTTTCCCAAAGACACCAAATTTCCCTATTGCGCGTTATATAAGCCATTTTGGCGCCCAATATGGACCCCCAGGAAAATAATGGATGGGTCTGAAAATTTGAACCCCATCGGCCCGAATTCACAAAGCAAGGTTTGAGCTCAGACCAAGGTTTGACCTCAAACCTCCTTTTGTTTCGCCAAACCTCCCTTTGTAATAACAAAGGGAGGTTTGGCGAAACAAAAGGAGGTTTGAGCTCAAACCTTGGTCTGAGCTCAAACCTTGCTTTGTGAATTCGGGCCAATACGTGTGACGTCCATTCAAGGCAGTGCATTAAAAGGACGTCGACCGTAACAGTCCCCATTGTCTTCGTGCAAATCTAAAAGTCCATAATACGGTAAATCCAACCGGTTAGGAGCTTTGGATAACTTTAAAACGAAATATCACCAATTTTGTATAGGAAAAAAACGATAGTAGAAGAAAGCTGTTATGAATTTCGGAAGGCGGTCATGGATGAAAGGGTAACAGATCATCATACAGGTACAGGTAAACAGATGGGATAATCCACGAGGCATTCCTCGACTTCCTCTCGCCCGTCGAGCGCAAGAGTGCATCCAATAAATGCCGACCGCCATCGTTTAACTAGTAAGTCCATGGTTTAACATACCCTTGATTAAACATATTATCAGCATTAATTAAAAAGAGCATTGAAACCTGACCAACATCTTTCACATGAATATTGCTTCATATTTTCAAAGCCAAAATAAATCTTTACCTCGTTTAAAACTTTGTGTAGTATAAGGCGAATTCCAGCTTTATAGAATTTATTGGGTGTGATTCCAAAAAGCACATTTTCGATGGTTAATTTCAACACTTTCGTACCAGTTCTTTTCGAAATATTCCCATACCTTCCTCACTACATGACATTAAAAAATAGGTGTTCAATGGTTTCTTCATGCAATAAACAGAATGTACACGCGCTGCTTGATTTAACATGTATTTTTATACACAAATAAGAGTTTGTTGGAGTAATGCAATTGATCAAGCAATATTGGAACCATCTGAGTGTAACGTCTTGTATTGTTTGGTATGGTACGGTATAGAATTACAACAAGTCCATTTCTTCAGTGAGATATGTTGCCGGATTTTCTCTTTCTATATTTCTTTCCTTTTTGCACAATATTGAAAACCCTTTTGTTTTACCATTGGAACGTAAGTATTGTTTATATTACAAGTATTTGTGTTCGGGTAATGAGTAATGACAGCTAGGGGGAGGGGTGATAACGGTAATGATAGGATGTTCAGAAGGAAATACGGGGTGCGAAAAAAAACGAATCAAATAAATATTATTTAAGAACATCGTGCATATATTTAAACGCTCAGTATAGTTCCTGTACGCAAATGCATTGTACTTCAATATTCATGTTCTAATTGTGCGTCAATTTTACACATTTCAAATGATTTCTGTTGTTAGGTTAAGGGTAAGCGATACAATATAAAAATATATGTCGAACCACCGCTACGCTTTCATCCATCAACTGACTATTTTTTTCAAAATGCATATTTTTGTTTCAAATGAGAAGTATAGGCTTTTGTTGTGTGTGGCAGCATTATGAATGAAATATACCATTTAATTCAATACAAACAGAAAAATAACCATTGACTCTATTGATTAAGTTAGAGTGTGATGCCCAGATCACATTATGATCCTTTTGAGATCTGATTTTCGAAGAAAATGTATATTTTTAGAGTAAAAAACATCGTCATAGATGTCGGTTCCTTACAGCCGAGATTTATTTCTTTGTTTGAAAACGGAAAATCTATCGAAACGGAGAGATGAACATGTGTATTTTGTATAAAATGGTGCGTGAAATGATATTTGGTGGGTTTAGAAAGTACTTTGTGATTAAATATTATCATAGCTTGAGAAATGCTCAAAATACCTTATATAGAACTGCCAAAACCACATATAAATTTAAAGAAAAGGAGCTTATGTTACAAAGGCATTAAATCTTGGAATCAGCTACCATTGAATGTAAAAAATATGTCTTGCTCTGTATTTAAATCAAGGGTAATATAAATATAAATTTTATAAAATGCAATTTTGCTGTTGAGTTTCAAAATATTTTAAATAGTAGATAGTATTTGTATTTCGTACGCTTAAATATCTATTTATATAACTATAAAATCTAAATTAAACGCTGTTTGGAAAGAATAATCGCCGACGGGGGGAGGGGTGGGTGGTATATCTCGGTTTGTATATTTTCATTTTTCTTTTAATATTTAAGTTTGTTTACATACATTGTATGTTGCATGTGTTATCTTATAATTGTACTTGTAATTTGTTTATTATTGCGCACGGTTCTACAAAAGAACAGCCTTTGGCTGAAGTTGGTGCCGTGCAAAAATAAAATGAACTGCACTGAACTGAGCTGTCTTCGTGATTAAGGTTCTATATAACGATAAGATTACTAACAACCGGAACTTTAGTGCATTTTAAGCCTTTCATTCGGAATAAAAGCCTAATCGGCATCAAATCGTACACAATCGGATTACTGGTCTGGCGTCACTACGATTTTAGGCCGATTTCGCTCTAAGACTTCCTCTTCCAAGAAAGCTTGAAATCAATTGAAAGTTCAAATTTATTGATCGTGCGATTATTGAGATCCTCGATCAAAACGATTTTACAAGTTTGAATGTTCATATCAGATGCTATTGCAGATTTTTGCGTAATCGGGTCGTAGTCAGATCGTATGGTGTGCGCCGGTCGCGACTGAAAACATAACAAATTTATTTTTTATAAATATTAAGTTGGAGAGAAGTGATATTGTGTGATACAGTGTTTCGAAAAAGATACATTAATATCATAAGAAAAGATGAATTATTCCACCGTTCATTAAATGTTTCTATATCAAATGAAAGAGACCCTTTAGCGATAACATGATGTTATATTAATTTCTTGTAATTTCTAGACTGAAAAAGAATTGCTCATTGGTTTGTAGGCCTATATGGGAAATGCCATCAGCAAACCTCAAAATAATTGTCAATGTGATATATACACATATATGTATTATCTACTATTCCTCACAGTCATAGCCCATTAAAATTGATAGCAATTCCGTTCATAGTACGTCCATCTCGTTTTAAGTATGTTGCCACTCCGTCTGATTGCAGGACAGGGAAAATGTTGAACAGACTCACTGAAGTTCTAGAGCACCTCTTTCCGTCCATAAAGTTATTAAGCAGATCGTTAACAGTTGCGATTACGTTCAGTCCGTTCGCACACAGTTTTACCTCGTTTGGCAACATTTTCCAGAACGTATTGAGAACTAGTTTGGTGTGATGGGGGCTTTAGATGGGGTTGTAGAGCGATCTCTTGCCCAAGGACATTCATTTTAAGACAAAGCTGGGACTTGAACCACGAATCTTCTGATACACACCACAACACATCTATTGTTGAGTTCTTA